ACTATTGTAAAATAGACTCTTGAGTGGGATAGAAAGGAATGTCAGGAAACATGATTACAGAAAGCTTGTAATCCCGTCTTCAGCCTATACCTGACTGGAATATGTAAAAAGGGTTCTATAGCTTGCCCAGTGACATAGGCCTCTTGCAGAGCCTTTGCAGTGTATACAACCTTAGGTGGACTCCTGAGCCCCATCCAGAGTCTTCTGAGATGAGGCAATCCCACTAGTAAGGACAAACTAGAGTGACAGAAGATACAACTTCAAAGATGTAACCCAGAACAAAAATGACAGGATGATTGGCTACTACAAAGATAAGCAAGTTGTTCACAGGGAAGCCATCAAGTCCTGTCAAGACTGAAGACTGAAACTCAGAGGGAACACATGAGCAGGCATGAAAGCTTGCTGGCGACCACATTGGTCTACTGGTGAGTGGAGGAGAGGAAGAGGCAACAATGTAGAAATGGGTTGAGTCCAACCACAATCCATTGACTCCCATTGACCTGGAGATGAGAGAGAGAAGAGGAAGGGCTGGTTGGTCCAAAGTGTAGTGAGACCTGGAGATACCTGATCCCATGGACAAGAATATAGCCATGGTGGGCTAGAGCTGAGAGTGAAGCATCCAGCTGATATGAAATGAAGGGAGATGTGCAAGAACACCCAAACTTGCCAATAGTACCCATTTGACATAGTCTCGATGGCTTGATAATCAGAACTCGACTAGAGAAATGTAAATAAAAGAAAACAATTTTTGACAAAGAAAATGAGGGTAAATTGCTACAATTTGATGAACTTGACCTATATTCATAGAGGTTATTGCTGTTGTGAAGTGCCATTGAGTCAGTTCTGACCCATAGCAACCGTGTATAGGGTTTCCAAAGAGCCACTGGTGAACTTGAACCACCAACCTTGCAGTTCAAATGGCTTTGCAGTCTGGTGCATTAGCCTACAGCACCACACCAGGACTCCATATTCATAGAGGTGGTAGCTCAAAACACCAACAGTGAGGGAAGGAGTCTTCACATCAGTATCCCCTCTGTACATAGAGTAGATAGGGATAGGCAGCTTAGACATTGGCTACCTAAAATGAGGGGGTGATAAAAGCTCGAAGTGAATGCCTTACAAGGTTTCAAGAGGGAGTTTAGTTTAGGAGTGTGTGGGGAAAGATAGAGCCCCACTGAATAGTTTTCATCTTGTCTAGATGGGTCTGGTTAAAAGTGATGGGGATAAGATTCTTATTATTCATTGGCGAGTGTTTGTTCTCATGACAAACTGCAACTGTCACAATTATAAAGGTAGAAGTTTTGTAACAAAAA